TTAAGATCAAGCTCATGAAGATAATGCGTAACCACAACATTCCCCTTGCTGCTGAGAGAGAGCTTTATCAATGGGCAGCCGAAGCCGAGAGTCATCAACTCTTTTCCTGGTCCCATAATTTTCAAATCGAATTTTTTCAAACGCACGAAATTACACTTCGCTTATGAAAATTATCACCTAGTATTCCTACTGATTCCTACRTACATTCCTACTTGAAAGGCTCCTTCTGACTTCCGAACCATGGTGACACCCCCTTCGGAAGGGGAGAATCCTCCCCCTTGGCTCCATTCAAGAGGCACTCAAGCAATGTAACCACCAAGACTATTCCAAGTATATTGATATCCCCCAGCTGGTGGTGGGAGTTTGCCCCAGCTGGATCCCCCTTGTTCCTCCAGAAGCACTGAATGGGATCTTCCGGTGTTGAAGTTGTTGTTTCCGACATTCGTGCCGGAAAGCAATAACACCAACCCCCCAGCATCCAACCAAGACCTAGTGAAGAACACGCCTGGAGTATATCCTATATCATACATTATACTCAGTTTGAAGATTCCCCAGCATCTCCATGCAGTTCCATTTCCAGTATTTTATGGACCGGAAGAAGATTCTGGTCACGCCGTTGTTGTTATTGTTTCTGGCATTCGTGCCRGAACACAACAGCACCAACCCCATCCCCCTGTATTCAACCAAGACCTTGTGAAGAACAACGCCTGGAGTATATGCTATATCATACATTATACTCAGTTTTCAAGCAGATTCCCCAGCATCTCCATGYAGTTATTTCACGGACCGGAAGAAGGTTCYGGTCACGACGTGGTTGTTTCCGGCATTCGTGCCGGAATGCAAAAACACCAACCCCAGCCCCCAGTATTCAACCAAGACTTTTCCTTTGAAGAACAACGCCTGGAGTATATGCTACATCATACTCATCATCAAGCTTTCAGCATCTCCATGCAGTTCCAGCAGTATTTTACGGACCGGAAGAAGATTCCGGTCAYGACGTTGTTGTTATTGTTTCCGGCATTTGTGCCAGAATGCAATAACACCAACCGCATCCCCCAGTATTCAACCAACCCCAACCCCAGTTACTCCAGCTGAGTGCTTTGCCTCAGCTGGATCCATCCCCAGTTCTCAAGGMCYGGAAGCCCCTGTGCTTTCCGGTCACGATTGTTGTTGTTTCCAGCATTCATGCCGGAATGCAATAACACCAACCCCATCCCCAGTATTCAACCAAGACCTACTGGTGCAGACCACGCCTGGAGTATATGCTACATCATACACCATACTCAGTTCAAAAGAAGATTCCCCAGCATCTCCACACAGTTCCAGTCTCAGTTACAGTATTTTACGGACCGGAAGAAGATTCCGGTCACGACGTTGTTGTTGTTGTTTCCGGCATTCGTGCCGGCATGCAATAACACCAACCCCATCCCCAGTATTCAACCAAGTCCTAGTGAAGAACACTGTCTGGAGTATATGCTACATCATACATCATACTCAGTTTTACAGATGATTCCCCAGCAGCGTCTCCATGCAGTTCCAGTATTTTCCGGACCGGAAGCAGATTCTGGTCACAATGTTGTTGTTTCCGACATTCGTGCCGGAAAACWCCAGCCCCAGTATTCCCCCAGTTGGGTGCAGTTTGCCTCCGCTGGATCCATCCCCAGTTTTCAAGGATTGGAAGCCCCTGTGCTTTCCAGTCACGATTGTTGTTGCTTCCGACACTCCTGTTGGAATGCAATAACACCAACCCCATCCCCAGTATTCAACCAAGACCTACTGGTGCAGACCAAGCCTGGAGTATATGCTACATCATACATCATACATCATACTCAGTTTTAAGAAGAGGATTCCCCAGCATCTCCATGCAGTTACAGTATCAGTTACAGTATTCTTTGGCCCGGAAGAAGATTCCGGTCACGATGTTGTTGTTGTTGTTTCCGGCATTCGTGCCGGAATGCAATAACACCAACCCAATCCCCCAGTATTCAACCAAGACCTAGTGCAGAACCAGCCTGGAGTATATGCTACATCATACATCATACTCACATTAAAGAAGATTCCCCAGCAGCATCTCCAAGCAGTTCCAGTATTTTACGGACCGGAAGAAGATTCCGGTCATGACGTTGTTGTTGTTGTTTCCGGCGTCCGTGCCGGAATGCAATAACACCAACCCCATCCCCCAGCATTCAACCAACCCCAGTTACTCCAGCTGAGTTCAGTTGCCTCAACTGAATTCCCAGTTCTCAAGGACCAGAAGCCCCAGTGCTTTCCGGTCACGATTGTTGTTGGTTCTGACACCCCTGTYGGAATGCAATAACACCAACCCCAGCCAGTATTTAAACATGACCTCGTGAGGAACAAGCCTCGAGTATATGCTACATCATACTCAGTTTAAAGAAGATTCTCCAGCACCTCCATGCAGTTCCTTTTCCAGCAGTTTACGGACCAGAAGAAGACTCCGGTCACGATGTTGTTGGATCTATCCCCAGTTCTCAAGGACTGGAAGCCCTTGTGTTTCCAGTCACGATTGCTGTTGTTTCCAACATAGGTACAGGAAGCCAACAGCACCAACCCCAGTTACTCCAGCTGAGTGCTTTGCCTCAGTTGGATCTACCATCCCCAGTTCTCAAGGACCGGAAGCCCTAGTGCTTTCCGGTCACGATTGCTGTTGTTTCAGACCTCAGTGCCGGAAAGCAACAGCAACACCCCCAAGTTTATTTTACCCCGTGACCAGCGACAAAAGAAAGTGATTTATTTGTTCCAGTGTCTTCTTCTAGAAGACAATACCCTGACAGCTGCTCCTAGGCTGGGCTCAGCTGTACTTTGGTAGCGAACGACACATGACGGTTCCCTTTTTTCTTTTTCTTTTTGGCTTTTCTTTTTTTTTTCTTTTGATTTTTTTCTTTTTGACTACACGGCATGGTTCTCATCCATCCAAACTGTGAACCAACATCTCCTTGATCACTGCGTCTGTTTCTTGCCTAAGAGATGGGGAGTGGTTGTCCCATCCTCCTAGCTTGGCAGTGTGACTGTTTTATGTCCTCTGAGTC